TGACCATAAACAAGGCCTGCAACGAGCTCAATCAGGTGTGTTTACCATTTGTTCCCCCTCTTAGCAGGTCATTTTTATAGTGCGTATCCTTTACTTGTCGCAGTTGACGGACACAAGTGTTTACTTTGTGTGAACCTGGCAACTGTGCGCAGGTTTTCCATTCAAAACTGACACTGGAATCGAGAAGTGCAACCCACGATAGCTGATTAGTGCGAGATCTGGCAGTCGATTTCACCTTCTACCTTACCTATAGGCTTCACGGTTACCAGAACTGTCAACCACTCCAAGTGCCTCACCGCATATACTGTGTCCGGGCAGATATTTTCTGCCATAAGGCTATAGGCTATGACCTGTGCTTGGGTAGAATTAGTTATAAAGTCCATTTCCATTGTCTCCGTGTGTGTTACACAGCACGCCCGATTTCTGCAACGATGCTCTCCAGTACAGCAATGTATCAGCCCAGTTAAGATTCATTGTGCAAAGACCATGATCTGGTATCGTACAAGGAATGACCCCTTATACCCTGTTAAAAAATCATTCTATGACAGCCTCAACGAATATCGGAAGTGATATCAAAGAGGCCACACTTTTCTCGATTTGCACGGACTTTGGGCCTTTTTCGGCAGTAGTAGGCCCGAAGTGAGATATGTCCGGTAATATCAATTCATGTAGCTTGATTGACCACAGCATTTCGACTGACGGTGGTATATGCGGCAGCGCGAACCACGAAACTGCGGCGGTGGGATGTTCGAAGACGGAGGAGATGCTGACCAACGCATCCCTTACCCATATCGAGAAAAACCTTTTAGATTATCCCAAAGTCCTGTTGTCTAGTACGTCCAATCTTGCTGTGATCTAATTTGACTCTGCCACTTGACTGCTTCAATTTCGACATTCTTCCTCGTTGCTGCCTAGAAGCTCCTCAAAAGCCGTGTGAGTTGACAAACACCATGTGAAGAGTTGTCCGTGCTCATGTAAATATAGGTGCATCTGGTAAACCCCTCTTTTCTAGGTACTAGTGCTCACCTGGTAAAGTTAGGCTTTTGTTGGCGACCATATAACTCT